CTGCATCATCGCAATAAAAAGTGTTACTCTATAAATACTTAGTAACTGTTGTATATTATTCAGTCGTATTTAAAAATTATATTTTTAACATTGAGCTTTCAAAAACAAATGGATTCGTTTGTTCTCGATATTTTAAAATGTCCTATAATACTTGAATTATTGCTAGTGATGGTTATACGGATGAACGATCAGCAATTATTGAATGGGTACAAAAACATAATGAAACTAGTCCAATAACTCGTCAACCAATTAAAATCCAATCGAATTGTAAAATAATTAATTGATCAATATCGATCTTTATTAACAACATTAGGAATAGGAAAAGAAGTAGTAATTATATTTTCTGGTAATGGAACATTATTAAATAATGAACAACGAATGCTTATTAATAGATTATTTTGAAGAGAAAAAAAGTGGTTATTAATATGCAAACCAACTGAAGATGGTTTCGATGTAAATGATTTTCATCGTCTTTATAATAATCGTGGTACTACACTTACTTTAATACAAATACGTAATTATTTACATATGAAAAAACATGATTCAATCTTTGATGGTTATACAACAATACCATGGCCTTCACAACATGGTTTTTATCATGATCCATAAGCTTTTTTTTATTTCTGCTTAATCAAGATCGTATTACTCGTTTTAAGTTACAATCAAAAGATGAAACAGCAGTTTCACATTATTCTACAACAGGACCAGTTTTTGGTTTAGATGATATTTATATTTGTAATCGAGCCTATGAAAATAATTTTAGTTATTCCAATAATAAAAACGATGTATCCAAATAAATTATGAGTATTTTTTGTTTCGATTGTTTTTCAGTTCAAAAAATAGATTGAAGAATAACATATAGTATTAAGTTGTCTTAAAGCTATAAATAACACAACGATACACTAGAACAACTTTTTTGCAACTGGATTTGGATCGGAGATAATTGACATCCAACAGATTCTTTCACAGTGACAGTATGGATTTCAAACTTTTATTCTATATGAAAATGTTTACTATTTAGTTTCATTCATAAGCAGAAACAAAAAAAAGAGATCATTTTAAATTTTACAAAAAAAGCAAATGATTCAGAATTAACTTGATGTCTTTCCGTTTCTAAAATTCGATCAATTTCGCTAAGTGTAGATCAACGATTGAAATATTTCGAATTTTCAAGCATGGAACACCGGTTTTTACAATGAAGTGAATGATTTAGTATCTAAAAGACTTCAAGTGTGCATTTTAATCATCTGACATCGATTTCAACATTTAAACTAACTCTGTAAAATTTACTTTATGTATATCACTGTAATATCATACATAAAATTTGTTTTAATTTCTTCTTTTTATTCTCTTGGTGATAATTGAAAATTATCTTTGAGCATTTTATACATCGCATTCTTATTTCATATCAGGTAAAACGTCTTTAGTGTAGTCAATAGTAGTGATATTTAGTTACATTATTCGTATAGAAAAAAAAAAAACTTTGAATAAATGTCTATCGTACTAACTAAAATATCAGCTCATTTGAATTAACGAAAGCAGAGATATTTCAATATCTTATCGTAGTGTTATGTGTAACGCACCTGTATATAAATATTTTTTATGTAAGGTAAAAAGAAAAGGAGTACTCTAATATTTGATTACCTTTTCATGTAAAGGCATACAATGTATTCTACGATAGTTATGTTTCTACACGTGTCTTTTTTCTTTTCTGCATCTATGTTTGATTAATGTCGTCAAAAGTATACGTGAATATTTACACTCATTTTTCATACCCAACAAAGAATACGACAACACAATGACGGATAAAGTTGCTTTCACAATGAAACTTAAACCAAATGTAATTAATGAATATAAACGACGACATGATGAAATATGGCCTGAACTTGTAGCATTACTTCATGAAAATGGTATATCTGATTATTCAATTTTTCTTGATGAACAATCATTAACTTTATTTGCTGTTCAAAAAGTTTCTGCAAATACAATTTCATCTAATGAGAAATTACGTGCGAATGAAATAATGCAACGTTGGTGGAAATATATGGCAGATCTTATGGAAGCCAATGACGATCAATCACCAGTTACTCATCCACTTAAACTTGTTTTTCATATGGACTGATTGATCCTTCTATTTGTTTTTTTTTTCATGCAAAGACATAATAGAATAAAAGACGGATGTCGCTAGATTCAAAATACCCTTTTAATATCATTATTGGTTATCATTTTATACCAATGACTAAGCAGCACTTTGTTTGTCTTTTATATCAGATCGTCATTTGTCTACGCCGTAGTACTTTATCATATAAAGAAAAATAAAACGTGTTTTTTCTTGAGGACATATCTAATCAAAATGTACAAAAATTATCAATCATTACATTGCTCAAATATCATATATAATATAATCTATTGACATGTGCACCAAGTTTTTTATATTATAGATTGTCATCATTGTTTTTACAAAACAAGATAAAACAAATATGGGTCGGCGTGTTAGTGATGATAAAGATGACAAAACACCTGAAAAACAAGCCACGCATGAATCTAATTCAGATTCAGATTCAAATCTTGACGAAGAAGAATTTATTGTTGAAAAAATTCTTAAAATGCGTACAACAAAAAAAGGAAAAGTTCAATGTAAGTTCAATTGAATTTAATTATGAAAAATTTTAATTTTTCGTTTTTGTTTTTTGAAAGATTTACTCAAATGGAAAGGTTTTCCTGATAGTGAAAATACATGGGTAAAGAAACACATACACAATGATTAATTTAATTCGTTTTTTTTTCTTTTACAGGAACCTGCTGAAAATCTTGAATGTCCAGATTTAATTGCTGCTTTTATGGCTGAACAAAAAGAAAAACAACAAACATCAACACCAAATGGTAAACGATCTCATTCAAGTACTACTAATGATACTAATGAAGTTAATAATAATAGTACTTCACCGACAAAACGACCACGTATTGAATTAGAACAAACAGGTTATCATCGTGGTCTAATACCAGAAATGTTAATGGGTGCAACAGATATTTATGATGGAGAATTAATGTTTTTGTAAGTTTTATTTTATTATTTATTAATAGATTTTATTTATTTATTTTAAGAGTTAAATGGAAAGGAATTGCTAAACCAGAACTTGTTCCATCACGTATTGTGAATAAACAATCAGCACAACTTGTTATTAAATTTTATGAAGATCGTTTAACATGGAATTCAACGAATACATCAAATAATACAAATAAAAAAGTTTAAAAACTATATAAAACATAATTGTTTTGTTTTCTGTTTGTTTATATAAGCTCTGTATTTCTCAGTGTTTATTGTCACAATAGCACACTGCCTTTTGTTTCTTTTGTTTTTCTGTTTCATTCTTCATGTTATTACTTGTCTGTGTATTGTGATCGGATTTTGTTGTATATTTTGAAAAATATAGGCTTCAAAAAAAAACTAAAAAAAAACCTATCCTAAGACACACTATTAGCGTTCGTTTGTTCTCGAACTTGTTGTATTTTTTTTGTGTATGATATTAGGCACGCTGTGAAATAAAAACGCTTTTATCTGATGAAATTCTTTTTATTTCAATAGTTAGATTTGTTAAGGGTAAACATCCTGTTTTGAACCAATTGTGGCTCTCTGAGAGAGCAAAATCAGTCGGACTGAAGTTTTAACTACAACTAAACTATCGAAGGATGGTTCGATCGAGCCCGAAAAATTTCAATCGATCGGGCTCGGGTCGGAAAATTTTGAACCCTACGGGCCCGATGGTTTTGAAAGTAAATCTTTTTAGTCTAAATACATTCATTTAAAGTAAATGACATTGTAACAGATACGGTAGTATGTTCTCAATATCTTTGCAATGTATTATTGTTTCGAACTAAACCTGTTTCTAAAAGATGTAGTGTGATATTTTCTACGAAATCATAGAAAAGATAATATGAAAAATAAGAACGAGAGTCAATAAGGACATTTTTCATTGCAAAATATTTTCGGAGAAAAAGTGCATTGTGATAATGAGTCAATCCTACATTAAAACATGGGGGTATTTATTCACGTTAGTTAGAAATTGCGATAGTTTGCATTTATATCCTCTGTACGCCGTAGCTGAAATTTCTTCTCTGTTCGTTGTGAGTCGAATACTTCGATAAGTGAAGAGAACAAATTTTCAAGAAATTAACCATACTGCTCTTGGTTTTTGAATGACTACCGACCTTGTATAATATTCTAAACGTTTGAAAACAAATGAAGAAATTTTAATATGTGAAACAACTCATAAAATCAGATTGAGAACGAAAACTCCAGTCGATTGATATATGCGGTTCGTTTCGAAGTTATATCACTTAACCATTTCACCTGATTACCCTCTGAAAATGATATAGACAAATCCAGTTTTTCATACTCTATTCAAATATGTTCTTGAAGAAGGCAAAAAAAAATGTGTTATTTAGGAGTAAAATTACAATTTAGTAGTGACAACCGTTATCGGAGTCTCTGCAGGATTAAAATATGAAACATGATATAGCTGTTGTTACTAACCACTAGAATATTGTTTTATTCGATCTATCTGCAGACTCATCTTTCATCAGCTTGGACTTATCCTCTAGAACTTAAAAAGAAAATAGTTTACATACTTACATGAGAACTGATTGATATATAATCAGTAATCATACATCAAAAACGACTGTCACGGTCTGTAACGGGTCGCCTGGCCGTCTTTTATGGTATGTGGGGGAACGTGGAGGGTTCAAATTTCTACTCTATATACTCCAACACTCCTTTTTCAGATCGTGTTTCACAAAAAGTCATGTTTTCAAAATCATCTCTTCACCGTTCTGACACACTGTGCGCCGTTCTATATGTTGAACTGACACAATTAGTGTCTCATTAAATAGATGATACTCGATTAGCTATATTAGATATTTTTTTCAAAGATTTACAGCACTGTATTGGAGCGAAAATGACTTAAGAAATACATAGAGAGAGCCGTCTTTCATTTTTGACTACGGTAAAAATGTTGTATATGTCATCTCTTCACTTGTTAAAATAGTTTAGACAAAAACTGAAGAGATTTTTATGAGTTCTATATTATGGTATGTCTTTGATTCGAAAAAGGAAGCTGTGATAATGGAAATGGTCTAACCATTCTTCACTGTTACAGTAGAAAAAACTTTAGATGACTTCTTATCAATCTATATAAGATTTGTAATGTTCAAGAAATACTTAATATAGATAATTGAGTATCCTCTATCTAGCGCAATACTAATTGTGTCAGTTAAACGTATAAGACGACGCATAGCATGTGAGAACTAGGAAATGATAATCTGAAAAACATGACTTTTCACTACTAAATCATAATTTTACTCCAAAAGAACACCTTTTTTTTTTACCTTCTTCGAAGACATTTTTGAATAGAGCATGAAAAATTGAATCTGCTTGTCTCAAAGGGTAATCAGGTGAAATGGTTAAGTAACAGAACTTTAAAACAAGCCATACATATCAATCGACTAGAGATTTTGCTTGCAGTTCGATTTTATGAGTTGTTTAACATATTGAAATATCTTCATTTCTACATCACTTCATCAAAAAAAACCTCATACTTGAATATTCTATTGAAATTTGTTTTCAAACATTTAGAATATTATACAAGATCGGTAGCCATTCAAAAGCACAACACAACATGCTTGATTTCTTGAAGATTGGTTCTCTTCATTCATCGAAATGATTCAAAACGAAGCGAACAAAATCCAAGTACGACGTAGAAGTAAGTCAATAGAGGTGCAAAAAATCCTCATGTCAAAA